CACAGAGTCACTATGGGTCACAGGCAACTCAACGACACATAACAACAACATTTGTTAAAAAAGAAATTCACGATCTCTGGTGACCCAATAGCAAGAAGCTACACTGCAATCCCAGAAGTACGCAGTTCGAATCCACCAGATGCTCGGCTGGAGAAGGAAGGGCAATCTTCTCCTGTACCAGTCAGATCCGATTTGACGGTACACACATAAAAATAATAAAATTTTAAAAAAAGAAAATAAAAATAAAAAATTCACTTTGTTTGTTGAGAATACAAAGCAGAACATCTACCAACACAGTTTATTCATTGGTTTTATTCTTCTGGTCGGTTAAAAACATTTTTCTATTCTATTATTAGGAACTATTCCACTGTAAAAATTAACTCTTGAAAACCAAACTCTGCAGTATTTAATCTAGATGTGGGAAGAATATGTTCACGTAACCTATTAATATCTAGAAATTTTAACTAGGATACTAAGACACAGGTCTACAATCTAACTTGCCAAGATATAAAAATACCTAAAGCATATTTAGACATATTAGAAATAAAAGGAGATCATCTGAGTTCTGTCTACTTCTATTACTTTGTAGTTCTAGAATATTGGAAGTGACTATTATCTAAGTTTTAATTTCCTTCCTCAGACAGATATAATATGAACATATATCTGACAACTCTAAAATACTGTCAAGTACAGACCTGTATCTATTTCCATTGGTTTCAACAAATAGTGATGCTACAGGACAGCTCAGAACAGCCTCATATGGTTCTGAAGGTTATAAACTCTATATAGGCAAAACTGACACATCTTTCTCCGATTACACAGCTGATATGTCTAAAATGTTCCAAATTTCTGCTTAAACACTGCATTACTCCCACTGCCATTGAGCTGGACTAACTCAGAGCAAATTTCCAAGACTGTAAATCTCATGGAAGATTACCCATTTTTCTCTCAAGGATCACCAGTAAAGTGGCATCTTTACCTTACCAGCAGAACTCTCTATAGTCTAGGCCACTAGAGCTTCTTAATACACCATTAAGGATTTTTTTAATAGACTAATAAAAAGAAAAAATACTCAAATGTACAAAGATTTAACTTATAATTTATCAAGATCTAAAATTTTCAATATTTTATAGAGGCTTAAGAATTCTGTTGAGAATAGTAGAAAACCTTACTCATTTCTGTTGGACTGTATCAGCTTCGTCTTTTGGGAGCTTATTCTGAAAGTCAAAAAATCAAAAAGGCTACTATAAACTTGGGAGCTTTGTCTTATCCTTCACTTTGATCAGTTTCCTTCAACAAAACCTAGTAGTGTTTTTTATTTAAATGTTTGTATAATAAAAATAAATCCATCAATGTATGCATGATGTTTATATCTTTAATGACTTGCGACAATACAGGTCAATATGGTGACTAAAATTCACACCTGAAATACATCAAGAAATCTCTCTGAATTTTCTCCAAATGAAGTACTGACTTTTAAAAAATGCAAACAAAAGTAGAATAATTTACATGCCAAAAAGCCAAGTCAAATAATACTGAAGCCTTAGATTTCTTTAAGTAAAAATATACAAAGAGATGTACAGGCAGAGAAATACCACCTAAAGACAGGAAAGAATTAAGATAATTTGTGGTCCCTTTAAAATGACACATTCTTTTTCAATATATTAACACACACCAAAAAAAGCCACATCATTTTTAAGCCCAATTATTTTGGCTAAGATAGGTATACTTTTCACGACATACTCAAAACATAACAGATATAAATATGTATCTGATTACTTTAGTCACTTAAATGCCTTAAGCAATTTTTCAGTTAAGAATCAAACATGCTAAGTGACTGCAACAGAGAAACAGGGATTTCATCATACATGGAAAATATGCTTTCAGGGACCTCTCCAAAAAGCTGAAGACCAAGTATGTCAGTTTAAAGACTAAAGGTGCGCCTGATCTAAGCCATGGTGTTTTTAATTACTTGCCACACATCTAAAAGTTGGATTATTCATTTTTCACTAATAAGGATAATAGAAGAATTATTGATACTTTTGAGCTATAATGTTGGAGAAGAGGACCGATTATGCCTTGGACAACACAAGAACAAACAAGTATAACCTGAAGGAAAGTGCAACTACTAGGTGTTCCCTCGGAAGAAGGAGGGTCTAACTTCATCACTCATACTTTAGGTATGTTGCTAGAAGGACAATATGCTTGGAAAGGTGGAGAGTCAGTCTGAGAAAGGAAGACCCTCAACAAGATGAATTTACATAGTGACTGCAAGAATGGACTCAAAAATTTAGAAGATGGTAAGGATGTCACAAGATAAGGCAAGGTTCAGATCTATTAATAGTTCAAGAGGTCACTATGAGTCACAGCTGACTTGAGAGCACATAATAACAAAATGTCTTAAACATTTTCAATTTCTTCAACATAAGCAAGGATACTTAATAAAAAAACCAAACTAAAAGAGTAAAGTATTTCTCATTTACTGAAAATGTTTTAACAAAGTTCATGTTTTTAGATGCCAGATGGACAATCAAAATCCAAAGAATCTCCTAAAGCTGATCTATCTTAATTGAAATTTGATCTAACTTCTTAGTCTACAATTATCATTTAGCAAAACACACAAAGGTGAATGGCCTTATTCAAATCTTTGAATGATATCCTATTATTTCCCTCCCAAGACTTCTCCTTGAACCCAAAGGAAAAATACATCAAAGAACATGTATAAAAGGAAATGTATTAAAATGACCAAGTATGTCCTGTACAATGTTGTTTAATTTTGCTCATGAAATGATTTCATAAAAATGGTAAAAAGGATAACTTACTCATTCTGAGAAAACCTTCAGAAACCATATGCCCACAATATATATAAAACTAAACAACAGAAAATCAAACCTATGAAAAAAAGAAAAACTTAAAAAGATGTTTTACAAAAGAGAGCATTCAAATAGCCAACAAATATACAGTTTCTGAAAGTCACTAGGAGCAATTATAATGAGTTAACATTAAGTTGGCTATACTTATAAATCATTTCAAGAATAGAGCTGAAGCACTAAATACTAATGAATATGGTGAATTTTACGATAAAATAAAAAACATCATATAAGAAAAGGACAGCAAAGAAAGACTAAAATGGACAGATCCCAAAGCTTCCTCCCAAATACAAACAGGCCAAAAGCAAGAGGAAGAAATGATGAAACAAAAGAAATGAATAGAAAATTTTAAATGGCAGCTCTGCCTAAGAGGCAAAGTATTGCAATGAAATGTGCAAAGAACTGAAATTAGAAAACCTAATGGGAATAACACACTAACGCTAAAGAACTGAATAAAAAGATATAAGCTGTGATTTATATTACTCAAAGAGCTTTGGACAGATCACTAAAACACAACACAGGAGACCTCAAAAGAAGATGGGAAGAATATACAGAATCACTACACACAGAAAAACACAATGACATAACCATTTCGTGAGACAGAATGTGATTAAGACCCAAGGGTCCTGAAGGATGGAATCAAAGCTGCATCAAAGTCAGTGACAAAAATATAGCTTCAGGAAGGACAGGACAAAATATCAACTGAGGTAAGTGTTTCAGCAAACAGATGCAGCCTTAAGTACTCAATGGTCTACGTCAAGAAATGTGGATGACATTCGAATTTATGCCATTTCAAAAGTGATCAAGAGAATGGTGAAATTACTGAACAATATCAATTCTATTATACACAAAATTTTGCTGAGTATTATTCCAAAACAACTGGAAGTATTATTCCAAATCCACAGAAGAGCCATAATTCAAGCTGAACTCTGATGAGGTTCTGGAATGAGGAATATCACTGTTAACATTATGATGAATCTTGACTGAAAACAGAAAGTACAAGAAAGATGTTTGTGTTCTCCTGACTATGTAAAACAAAAAAGGCAAAACAAACAACAACAAAAAACCAAAGGCAAAAAAAACCCCAAAAAACCCAAAGGCATTTTATCTTGGATTTCAGTGCTTCCTTAGAGAGTAAAAAAGAGAAATATCGTATGACCCAGCAATCCCACTACTAAGTATATAGCCCAAAGAAATAAGAGTTGCATATAAACAGGTTTTCAGAGACTGACAATCAAACAAGAGTAGACTGTTCATCTTTTGACCGAGGAGCAGCTTATCTGAAGCACCTGCCTTTGAGATGGGATTATAATTCGTTATCCACTAGGCCACCAGAGTTCCTCTTAGTTAATATGTGGAATAATAAATTATAAGTACATACTATGTGACATTAATTCCTGGAAAATGTGCTAAATGTGAGAACTATTTAAGACAAACATAGATAAAACAAAACAAAAAATTATAAATTAATATTTTGGCCTATTTCTCCTGTTCTCATCTAATCTACTTTATTCACTACTCAATAAGTTATGTAACTATTACAAAATTCAACGTAATCCTGAGGGAATACAGATCAATAATAACTTATTGGATCTGCCATCTGAATCAGCTCATCAGTAAGACCTGAGTAAAATTTTTATTTACTCACAAATACATAAAAAAGCTGTATATACTATTAATGAATAGGAAGTACATTTAATAGGTTTGTATATGCTACTCCTAGTATGAAGCTTCTCCACAATTATCAGGAATAATTTAAAACAACTCTTAACAAAAGAACTATAAGGCAGTACCAATTCCTTTACGTTAAAAACTTCAAAAAGGTGGTTTATATTATTAGTGAAAATGCTGAAGAGTCTTAAGACATTTGTTGTTAAAAAGAATAAAGATCAATATTTATCTTCATTTATGACATCACAACTGTATTATCAAAAGTATAAATTTCTTCAAAATAACATAATAACTTACAAAAAATATAATTTATATTATACTGTTCCTTTTAATCTATAAAGTTTATGAGAAAAATTTTAAACCCTATGTAAAATAATCCCAAGTAACTTTCAGAAATAAATACCTAATTAGCAATAAGAAATCATTCATAAAATGGAAAAAAGAAATGGTAAAACCAACCCCTCCTCGCTGACCATCTACATGTATGGAACGGATGTGATCTGCCAGATCTGGACTAGAGTTGAAGCAAGCCTGGCACTGGTCCCAACAACAATTATAGGCAATATTTTTGCTTGAAGAAGTAGTGCTTCCTTGTCCATTCATCATTGCTGGAGTTGAACGCCCACTGGAAATTGTGCTGTCTACATCCATTATAGTACTGCTTATGCTACAAAAGAAGAAAAAAGTCTGTGTTATTCCTAGAAATTGTAACATGAATATTTTATAAATAATTAAGATTACTACTGATTTAAACTACAAACCAAAAATACCCTCTAAAATCTTCTTAAAATCAAGTCGTTTAAAATAAATAGTAAATAATGCCTTCAGATCTTTATATAATCTTTCTAAACAGGAAAAAATTTACAAAGGTAAATTTACAAGAGCATAGCTAAGAACCCACACAAAAATAAATTTATGTTAATAGAGAAGTAAAAAAATACAGTAAGAACAGTTACATAACTAATCAATGTCATGGAATTCTTTATGTAGAAACCGTTGATATGTTTTATTGCATATTCCCAACAACAAAAAATAAGGCAAAATAAAATAAAATTAACCTGAATGTCAATGGTAATCTGTTTTTAATAAATTACCACTTGACATTGCTTCATACAAAGTATACTATTAGAAACTGTATGCTTTGAAATTATTTATTTGACAATCAACTACAAATTAAGTAAAAAAGAACAAGAATGTCTCAAAATAAAAAATTGGGTAATTTAAGCAGCTTTTAGAAATTTTGGTGGCTTACTCTGTAGGGAGCTAAACTACTAACCCAAAGAACCACACCTGTGCCAGTCTGAATCCAGACTGATTTCTCCTGTTTTCAGAAACAATGGAGGGTCAGGTAGGAACTGGTTCTAATTCAATGGCAAGGAATTGGGTGTTGTTTTGTTGTTTTTTTTTTAAAATTTAGGTTGTTTATTTTTCATTTCAATGAATTGGGTTTTTTAAAGCAACTTTTGGCAGGCATGGGCTCCCCAGCCCCATACTATAAAGAAAACCAGACAGAAACATGTATAAACCACAAGTTTGACATATTTTATTCATCCATAGTTCTAAGAGGCATGAAAAAGCAATAAAAAAAAACCCTTAGCAAAAGTAATTCTGAATCTAGTACACCTTTTTTGTCATTCTCATACAATAAACTGTAACTCAAAGCATCACTATGAATTACAAAGTGGAAATCTGCCCTGTTCTGGACCATCCTCATGATCTCCACCAAACTTAAGGCTATTGTTAGTCACTATGTCAATCCATCTCACTGAGGTCTTTCGTTCAATGATCTTTCCCAGCATGATATCTTTTTCTGATGATTAGCCCCATAACATACTCAAAGTATGTAAAACAAAGTTTCACTATCCTTGCCTCTAAGGAGTACCAGGTGACCATTTTCCAAGATAGATTTTTTTCGTACTTTAGGCACTCCTGGGATATTTAATAGTCTTCGCCAATACCATAATCCAACAGCACTGATTTTTCTTTTCCCTTTGGTCTTCCTTATTACAGCAAGTTTCAGGTATGCATGAAGCAAGTGAAAATAACCATGGTTTGGATCAGGCCTACGAATCTATCTTTACAGTTCTAGAAATCATTTGTTTGATCTGAACGCTTTACTTTTGTTCTCTAATCTGCCTATCAGTCCAGTGGTAAAAATGTTTGTTTTCTTGACATTGAGATGCAAGCCATATTAAAGGCTGCATTCCTTGATCACGTGCAACAAGTACTTCAAGTCCTCCTCATTTACAGCAAGCAAGGTTGTACCATCAGCATAATGCAGGTCACTGATGAGTCTCCCAACAATCCTGATGCCATATTCTTCTTAACCGAGTTCAGCTTCTCAGATAAAAAAATAAAACTCAAGAACTGATGGGATACCAACTGACTTATTTCAATTAACAGGTGATGGATCCTTGGATGTGCTCACCAGTCTCTGCCAGGAAATTCGGAGGGCAGTTGTGTGGCTGATGGATTGGAAGAGGTCTGTATCTATTCCCATTTTAAGAAAGGATATCCAACAGGATGTGGAACCTATCAAACCGTAACATTAATATCTCATGCAAGTAAATAGTGAAGATCATTCAAAAACAGCTAGAACCATACATAGATAAAGAACTGCCAGAAGTTCACAGAGGATTTAGAAGAGGCTGTGGTACCAGGGATAATATAATTTCTGATGTCAGATGGATCCTGGCTGAAAGTAAAGAATATCAGAAGAAAGCCTATTTGTGCTTTACTGACTATTTGGATCATAACAAGATGTGGCTTACATTGAGAAGAACGGGAATCCCAGAACACTTAATAATGCTCACGCAGAACCTATATCTGGACCAGGAGGCTGCTGTGTGAACAGAGCAGGGCAACAAAGCATGGTTTAAATTGAGAAGGGAGTGCATCAGGATTGTATTCTTTATCCCTACCTATTCAACCTGTATTATTTTATTATCTATGTTGTAAGTGTAAGATTTAGTGTAAAAATGAATACTGTATGTCAACAATGACGATGTGTTGTATTTAGAGGAGGCATGCAAGCCTACTGGTATTGATTGGATATATTAAGACGGTAAGATCTGCCCTGGAGAAATGTTTGTGGAAAGCAGGAGAACTAGAGGGCATATGGGTTAGACTGAGGGAAGATTAAGCTCATCCAGTAATTTGAGAAGATTTGCATTAAGAATGTATTAGTAGATTCATCTTAGCCTTTTGATTGAAGACAGTTACATTTGGAGTACTGCAGCCATGACTGAGTTTGGGAATGTTTCATCAACACTGTTGACTTAGCAAGCACACATGGGTGGTTAAGTACAAAAGGGTTGCTGGCTTGAGGGAGTCATGAGGACCCCATAATTGTTGACTTGGCCTCAGGAAGGGGTGCTAAGAGTAAGTGAAAAAACTCACTGAAAAAGAGTGAAAAAGGGTGCGTACAGTGAATGCCCATCTGATCATAGCAACCAATGATTGCAGATAGGCTGACCAGAACCCAAACAAACAAACAAAAATATTTTATGCTGTGAGGTAGTACTGATTGTTGCAATCTGCTGGCATGTTCCTGACTGGAGTTTGCTTATGGTGTTGATGTGAAATGTTCTAACTGGAAAGGAAGTTGCTTGTTTCTGCAGAGTACTGGTTTGATAGGAACAGGCAAATCAGAAACTGGCTATTTAAAAAAAGGGGTAGGAAGTTGCTGACTTGTACGCTTTCATGAATATACAGTCCTTACTATGACTGAAAGGAGAAATTTGATTCTTCAAGTGAAAGGATGATGACTAGAAAAGCCAAGAGGTGGTCTCTGGGTGTCTAATGCTTATCACTCAAAATGTCTTTCCTTGCTAATAATTAACTGTTTATTTTGTGCTGAAATATCTACTGTATTAAGAACAGGGGATTTTGATGGCGTACAAGCCCCACCCTTACAGAGGCCTACAGAAGCTCACCAGGCAGACCTACATGCTAGTTTTCTTTTGGGGACGCCTACCTTCAACTGATCAGCAATCTCTGTAAAACGGGCCTGCATACCAAGAGTCACATGAGGCATTCCCCTGATGGGTTTGAGTCTCTAGTAACCTTCCAGGGAACCACAGAAGAGCTAGGAAACTAAATAAAGGAGATTTCTGACTGTTGATGTCATATGGAGCTACACAGTAAATCAAGCATATGGGACAACACTGACTTTACAGCCTAGTAGTAAGGAGCTGTACTGCATTATCACAAGCATGCATTTCAAATCCACCATCTATGTTACTTGCTTTACATGTTTTTACATGTCTCAATTAGAAGTTCAGAGTTACCATGCAATATTATTTAAAATGGGTGACCCTGGAGGACACTATGCTGAGTGAAGTATCTCAGTCACAAAAGGACAAATATTGCATAATGCGACTGTTGTAAAACAGGACTGGCCTCGGGGTGGGGTGGGGAGACTGAGAAAGATGGGTTCAATAACGTATACTGCACTGAAACAGATGAGGGAGAAAACTATTTAAAAGGGATATGTTATTAGGTATTTTTGTCATGACAGGAGTCGAAGAGCAAAGGCTGCATAGTGGAGTGGACATGGGGGGGGGGGGTGTGAAACAATGAAAGACTTTTACTTTTCCAAGAGGGTAGTGTACTGGGGGGGAGGTTTGGGAGGGGGAAAAGTGCAACAATGAATGAATGGAAATCCAAAGTCTGTAAATTTTCATTGAAATTAATAATAATTATTTTTTAAAGTTCAGAGTTACATAAAGAAATTTCATTAAACTCCAAAGGGAAAATTAAGTATTTTAATAAGCAAACTGAACAGACCAATTTATCAGCAATCTCTAGCTGTGGTAAATTTCAAAGAATTATTGTTGTACAACTATACAGTTAATTGAAAACAAGAAATAACAAAGGTACAAGACACTAATGTTATGACTGGCATGTACACAAGGTGGAGAAGGAGATACATAGACACAGAAATTGTCTGCATAGAAGTTTCTGAGAGATGCAAACAGGTAAACATGCATGCTGTTAACAGGGCTGGTGGTCGAGTCCACTCACACACATACTAAAGAAAAAGTCTATCAATTTCCTACCAAACCTTGAGCCACTGAAAACCCTAGGGGGTATAGTTATATGCTGAAATTGAATCTTTATTAATCAGGAGGAGCTTCCATAGGAACTTGTACCCTCTAGAATACATAACCTCTCAAGAAGATAGTAGTCAAGGCAAAGAAGTTAGGAGTCGGAAAATCATCTCTCACGGTATCTATCCTACATCATACCACTCTAAACATGTTGCAGTTGTTATACTTGTGCTATTTTAGTAAAGTTTAAAATTACTGAAAATTAAACCAAATCCATTTTATTTAAACTAGTCAAATTAAGGAAGAGTAATAAACATATGTCACAAAAGAACCAAAAGAAAAAAAAGGCTAACCATAGAATATTATGGAACAACCATACAAATGTCTGATTTAAAGTGGAAAAAAGCAGTCTATCTCATCTCACTAATGCCTAGTAAGTCAACATTCATGTGTTCCATTTCATTTTTTACAATTTCCAGTTTTCAAACATTCAAATTACATATATTCCAGGTTACAATTAATAGATGTCTGTCACTGCTTTTCCTCATTTCAACCAACTTCCAATCTGGGCTCTACCACTCACTAGTATAGCTAAAGAGGACAAAGCAAAGTATCA